ATAAAGTTAATTAATTAACGAAAGAATATTTTATAAATTAATAAAAATTTTATCTAATTTTTAAAAAAATATTTAATGCAAAATTGAGTTTTTATATAGAATAATCAAGAAAATGAGAAATTAACAATTTTTCTAATATTCAGTTTATAATTATTTTCCTTGTTTAAAGGGAAAGTAACAGTACACTCCTTAACAAGCGCTTTTTTCGATCATTTTTCATAAGATACAAAAACAAAATATAAACTTACATTAACTAATTAATTGATATTTTATATGTAATGTAACAAAAATAAACAATTTTTAAATAATATTGTTAATTATTATAGTTATTTACGTTTTATTTCCTTACCCTAAATTATACAAAGATAAATAACAGACATTTTAATTTAATCTTTTGACAGCCCAAATGTCACTTAACCGTTGTAAATTATTTTTTATACTTACAAACTTTACAAAATTTACTCAAAAATTAAGTTTTTCTTGGTGTATATTCGTTAAAAAGCACGTTGTTCTAAATTTAATTTACGAATTTATTGTGTTTATGTATATGTATGGGTCGTCCAAAAATTAGTTAACCATTCAAAAGATTAAATTGATAATTGATGTTGCTTGAATTACTTAAAAAATATTTTCTTGTTTTTATCAATTTTTTAATAGAAAAATACGTTTTTCTAAATTAAATTTACGATTCATATTCGTAACTTTACTCGAAAAACGCGCCTAAAACGGAGCGCAGTTAATCGAATTTTGGGCCACCCTATAAATAAAATTCGAGGAATACTTATAATTATTTAAAATTAAAAAAATTAATTTATAATTTATTTTTAATTTAATAATAAATCAATTTTTTTTATTAATAAAAATTTACATTTTTTATATGAAAAAATTATTAAACGTAAACACATGTTTTTAAATTGAAAAGATTGATTTATTATTAGATATTTTGTACATAAATATATACATACATACACACACACACATAAAAAGGGAAAATTTTAAACTTGTAGGAATTGTTTATGAATTTTAACGATATAGAAGAGAATTTTCTATCCAATTATTTTCTTTAGAAATAGAGAAAAATAATAAAGAAAGAATGCTGAATAATTAATTTTTAATAAATTATGTTTACAAATAAACCAATTTTTTTTTATTCCGGATATTGTAAAAATAAAAAGAAAGAAAAAAAAATGATTATTTTCAAAATTCGAGATTTAAGAATAAGAATAAAAATAATAAAAAAAAACTTCAATATTTTTCTTATTTTTATTTTCTTGCGTGTACTTTATAGAAAAATGTATTTTATTCTTTCTTATTAAATTTCTGTATTTTTTTTAATATTTTATTTTTGATATAAAGTTTTTTTTTTCTTTTACAATTTTATGAAGTTTTTACAAATAATTTTTTTCTTAAAAAATAAAATAAAATCTAAAACTAAGTTATGAAAAAATTTTATATTCAAAATATATATTATTTACCTGATCGCTTCGACTTAGTTAAGTTTTTGCCTTAGAGTAATACTAAAGAATGATAGAAGTTATGAATTTTANAGAATTAAATTTTTTGCTATATATATATAAAGTATAATACTGTACATCTGCAATCTGTTTTATATATTTTGTATAATACTTTATTTAAAATAATTATTCAAATAATTCGAATAATTTTCTTTTAATGTTTAGAATAAAACGATTAATTTGCATTAAAAATTGCTATTTAATTCTATTAAAAAATTGGTAAATAATTCAATGCATTTATTTATTATAAATCAAATACAATTTTTAATTAATAAAACAAAAATAAATCGAATTTTATATAAAAAATATATTTACTTTAATATTTATTTATTTAAAAAGATGTTTTTTTAAGTAAAATTATTTTTATTCTTAGAATTCATTTAATTAAATAAAGGTTACAATTTATTTTCTCACCCAGAAGTGTATAGAAGGTGTGTATAGACTTATATATACTTATAAGATAATTTTTATCTTATGAGTAGATAATAATATGGATGTATTTAGCTACGTATAAGCTAAAGAAGTTACAGCTTAAGGCCTTAAATTTATTATTATTTGATAAAGGAAAGGTCCTCATATATTATAACTTAAAACCTCAACAGGTTTAAATTTGATCTTTCGCAAGAGATCAAGAAGAATTAAATTTTTTGCTTAAATTCATTAGAAAATAATGGTTAATAGATCATTTTTATTTTATTTTATCTTATGATTATATAAGAGAATGTATAAATTTATATGTAAGATGAGTGAGCTACAGCTTAGATATTTTAAATTTATTATTATTTGGAAGAAAGATCCTCTTAGTTTATCTTGAAACCTTAACAAATTCAAATCCAACCTTGTATAAGAGATCAGAAAGAATTGATTCTCTTAGCCAATTTCATTAGAAAATAATAAGATTAATAAAATATTTTCATCTTAAAGCAAATTAATTAAGCGGAATATTATCAGAAAATAGATCATAAACAATTTAATTTTCTTATTAATTTTAAAATTTTACTGTTTCTGATTTAATAAACGTGACACGTATCAAGTACTTAATTTATTTGAAAGTTGTTTTAAAATATTAGCAAAATTCAAAGGAAAAAAAATGGAGTTAAAGGTATAAATTCTGTGAAATTGAACAGAGTAATTTGCGTGAGTAGTTTTACATCATATTAAATAAAAATAAAAATAAAGTTTAACGTAAAAAAATAAGCATTTAGTAAAGAGTTGATCAACAACATTAGTTACCAGAGAAAGCAAACAAACTATTTATTAAGGTATTCGTTTCTATTCATTTTTGATAGAATGACCATTTCCTAAATGATTGATCTCTTATATTTGTTGACCAGAGAATTGCTACATCGTGCCACTCCAAAGATGCGGTTTATCATCATTCTCCTTGCTTCTTTCTATTTATCTGGATTTTCTGCCACAACGCGATAAAAACTCATTATGTAGTTCAAAGCAATAAAATAACTGTTAAAATATTTTTTAAATGGTATGAATTTTTTATGATATCCATACTTTTTACAGAAATATATGGTTTATTCGGCAAATGATAGTGAAAAGATCAATTACTATTTACAGATTTTCTTCTTAATATTTAGGAATTTAAACAATTAATTTCTGTAATACAATTTATTTTCGGGTAAAAATCGTTTCGGAAGACTTTATGAATTGTTTTGTATATAATAAAGCATTTATCTGAAGTATAAAAGCGAGAGATTTGTAAAGGAAGTCATAAATCAAAATGACGTTTGTTTAAATATTGAAGTTTTAGAAAATAAAATTGTGTTGTTTCCTTCATAAACCCGCTCTTTAATTTTAACGGATTTTACTACTTAAAACAATGCGGCAACTACTTTCAAAAAATAAAAATAGCAGCATTAAGAGACGAATGTGCATCATTTTAATCCCGGTCTAAGAAAAATGATGCAAAAGAGGCAAACCAATCAAGAAAACGGATCGAGCGATACTTTTTCTCTAAAAGCCTCAACTCTTACTTTAAATACCTCGAAAGCATTTAAATAAACTTTAAGTACAAACAGTATACGTTATATAAAGTAGACATGGGATACTCTTTAATGAAGCGTGCAGCAGCGTGCATGTTAGAATCGACTAGGATTAGAAAAGTGGATGCTGCACATCCCGAAGAAAAAGAACTAAACTGGCTTTACCGCATGAGTTACGACATTAATTATCTTAATGAACTTTCCTTTAAAAGTCCAATAAATGACAGGTATTGTAAATAGCAATGTGGAGTGCCGCTCTTACCTCAAGTGTAGCTTGAACCCCCGTTTAATCTAGCGAACAGCGCAATTTCTCACCAGTCTCTATTGACCTCAAGTCGTTAGAGCGAACATTCGGATTTTATCCGCCTTTTAAATGACCTTTTCTATAATGGCTAGCAATTAGGAAAGTTTGGGATGCATTGTACATCATATCGATATTTTCAACATATCGCACGCGATAATGAAGGAAATTTGATGATGTGTGTACTATACCGAAATTTTGATTGTGCTGATTGTTTATTGTATCCATTTGTATTGTAGAAGGATGGAATGATTTATCCGTGATGTCGACTTACTTTTTTCCTTAAATCTTGCTGATTAAATTAAAACAACTGATGATGATGATGTTACTTTTATCGTTTACGTGAAAATTACCTAAAAACTGAAAGGTTTTTTCCCCTTTCTAACTTTCTCAAATGTCGTGTTCTAGCTTCCTGTTTGCGGATTAAATACATTTCTGGTAAATAAAATTTATTTACATTTATTTTAAAGAAAAGGGATTTATTGAGACGTTTATATGTTTACTTTTTATAATGGGAAGATAAATTTATAAACCAGAAGAGAAAAAATAAGCATTAAATGAATAACAAAATGTGAAATTGTGAATTACTTCTGTACACTTTTCTTTATCTCTTCGCATTACATTTTTGTTTAATTTAAATAAAATTTTAACTTTTAAGTATAAAAATCAATTTATAATTATATAAATTTAAAACTTAATTAAATTTTATATAAGTAAATTTAAATAATATTCCAGTTAAATTAATTATTTCAAGAGTGTAGAATTTGTATAACTAGTTGCCTGTGCTTAATTAATATAAAGCTGATTTTTCAATAAAACAATAGCATGATTTAATGTTTTAAACAAACAAAATCATTAAATTAAAGAATATCTTCCTAATTATAATATCAAATTTCTATTTTCTAGCCGGGAACGATGTTATCGTTGTGTTGGAATATACGAAAAGCACCACAATGTCCTTCAATACAGAGAAAGTAAGTACATTTTTATTATACTAAAGTTAAAGTTTACCGATTTTAAAATGTTTATTTAAGAAATCTATAAAAAGAAATAACCGAAAAAAGTTTTACTCGCACAAAATCATGTGGAAATGACTTGAAGCAGCAGTTTGTACACGAATATGGCACGTAAGAGGTTGTCTCTCTTCAGAAGAGCCGCTTCAACTTATATTTAGTCATAGCGAGAAACGAATCACACATGACAGCTTCTCATCTTGTAAAAGCACCTTTCATAACAAAGACATCAAAAGAAAAAGAGGAAGAAAGATCCGTATAAGTGCAGAGAAGATGGAAAAAATCATATAAGAATTCTCTCATGGCCAAGACATTTCACTTTTACTATTGACAACACACATCCGTACAAAAGAAAACAGTTTTTGCTTCTGATTCTTTAATAATTGACTCTGTCAGAATAGAGATGGGAAAAGGAAAAACTGCTGTGTACCAGGATACTCATCAACAATGTACCACCAAAGCAACAAATCTGAAGAAGCTGGTAATTCTGACAATATCAATGAAACTTCAGAGTTTTTGTGTTAAGAAACATCCATTCTTTGAAAAAGTGATCAACTATAAGAAAAAAAATCATCATTCTTTAAAGAATTTATTAAAAATTTATCCATTATTTTTTTTCTTGCCCGTAGAGTAAGGAAAAGGTTGATAAATTTATAATCTTCTACTTTTTTTATGGATTAAATAATAATAAAAAGAGAGTCGTTGCTAGATTTGTGTTTCGGTAATTATTTTTAAAAAATTTATATAATTTTTTCTTAAATATTAATCCTTTAAAATTGATTAGGATCATTTAGAAACGTTGAAGATTGAAGATTTTTAACTTGATTAATGCTCTTGACTAATTGTGGTTAATTTAGAGTTTAAAGTAAAACAATGGTCACAGCTGGCGAAACGTTAATCAGAGTTGTTTCTAACGATTACTCCCATCGATAATTAGCTTCACTACTTGTTCACACTTTTTTTTTAACTTCTCTGGAACGATTATTTTTAATAAACGCTTAAGAGGAAGTTCCAATAAAAGTAAATCGTCCTGATTTAATTCAACGGATTTAACTTTGCTTCTAAATCGCAAATAATAGGATTATTAAGCATTTAAGTGTTAAATATATTCATTGCCTTTAATTTTAAATGTAATTTATATATTTTTAAGAATTTTTTATGTAAAGTTTGTTTAAGAAAAATTATTTCTCTATTCTACACTCGCACCCGTTTTGTTAGATTGGTGTACGTTTTTACACTGCATTTTATTACGAGAAAGTGTACTAATCACGTGTATTGTTAAATTGACATCATTAGTACACTTTCTTGTACAAATGTATGAAAATAACATAATAGTATACAATATTCCGAGAAAAATTAAAGTATACGTTTCGACTTTTAGTGGGACTTTTAATTATAATATGGATAAATCATTTCTTGAAATTGTAAATATAATGAAATAATTGTTACATTTTCTCGAATTTTTATAGCTTTTAAGCTTAAATATTCAGAAATTTTATAAATAAAAACTGAAAATTAAGATTTTTCCTATGTATAAAGTCAGGGAGCATCATGTGTAAGCTTGAAAATCTCAACCCAGAATCTTAATTCAAAAAAAACCAGGAAGACAAAAGGTAAAAATATTATACTATGGCACATTCGCGTACAATTGCACACGAAACGGCTGCACATATAACAAAAGGTGATCTTTTATCGAATCGAAGAAGACCATTTTCCAAAATAGCACTCGAAAAGTGTTCTCATTTCTCCAAAAAAGAAGAAAAAAAGATTCCTTTCGATGATTGTATCTTAACACAACAACGATTGTCGTACAATCTTGTATAGACGGGTCTTCCGACCAAACATCCAAAAAGATATCATCAATGTAACAATTGACTCCGGGTAAGAAAGAAAGCGTAAAAAAATGAGAGATATCAAGTGAAAGTTTTAAAGAAAGAAGAAATGAGACTGTTTGAAAGAAAAACTAACCGGCTTTGAGCAACATCAGAGTTTTAGAAATTGTCTTATAAAGTCATTGATGTGATGTGGAAAACGATACTTGACTCGTGAAAGTTTTCTTCTACTTCTCTCCCTCTTCCTTCGGGCAAGTGATGTTGAGTAGTTTACACGACGGTGTCGTACTCTACTTGTTGGTACTAGCTTTATAACCTCGTAAAAATGTTAGCCATTTTGAGGATAACGAAACATGATAGCTGTCGTTCTACCCCAACGACAAAAAAAGATGAATAAGAGAATGACTTTCCTTTTTTTTCTTTATTTATTTTTCTAGCTTACTGCGATGAATATCGAACACTGAAGCAAGCGTGTTCGCGGTTAAACGTCGATGCCCATCTCTACTCCATGTTCAGAGGTAAGAGTTTTTTTTTTTAATTTTAATAATAATATCGTGTTATAATTGATGCTATATTTTACAATACGCGAAGATCTTTATAAATCCATTTCTTGGCTTTCATCCGCCACCTCACAAGAGATAAAGATTAACTCGAACTCGATTGTGAAAGAGAAATAAGGTATTATTAATGCGAGGAAGAGTGAATAAGAAGCATACATTTTTCCCTTTTCCCAGTGAGAAGCTCACCTTCCTGTCACTATATTAACTCAATAGAAAAACTATTAGAGACGCCAGAGGATCTTGTAACTCACCCAATCCTCCAAGGATTAAGTTATTTACAACGGCGTCTTGAATCTCCATTAACTTGTCTCCATCCCCATTTTCTATCATAATCCGGTCCTTTACTTCAACATATTCAATTACATGTTTTAGAATTTGGATTGATTCCAGTTGGAACACGTCTTGCTTGGAATTTGTCCAAGACGAATTTTCAATTTCTTCTGTCCGATGATCCTTTCTTGGATATACATTGTTATATATTTGATATGACGTAATGGGTACAATGTAGCTACTACTTTTTCACTAAACTTTGTCTTATTCTTTTTAACATACGAATAAATCTTTCTAAAAATATATTTAAATCTTCCATAAATTAGCATATATTTTTATTATTTCACTGGAATAAGTTTAATGCATTAATTAAGTAGCCACTAGACACGTTTTCTATTGAATTGAGACCAATACTAATAAAGTTTTTACTATATTTTCTTTAAAATTCTAAAGATTTTTTTATCCTTAAAATGCGTTAAATTCGCCTAGATTAATAATTTTCAAACTTTACACGTTAAATAATCTCTTTTAATTTGCTGTGAAAATCTAAACATTAATTAGACAAATTTGGAGATCGCGATCCACTAGTTGCAAAATAATACTATATTCTATAAATCAGTCCCTTTTCCAACTTAATAAATCTTCGGAGAACGCGATCAACTGGTTGAAAATTATAATATAACTTATAAACCAGTTAATTTTCAACATAAAATTCATACCTCGCGATCCACCGGTTAGGAAGATAACATATATGTTATAAATTAGCTAATTTCAACTTAATAAATCTTGCAAGGTTGTTATCATAGCTTATAAATCAGTTAATTTTAAACTTAATAAATCCTCGGGGATCGCGATCCTTCGGTTGAGAATCTATAAAATAACTTATAAATCATCTAATTGTCAACTTATATTTTACATCTTTACTCTTACCAGCTACAAATTAATATTTTAAAATTTATTTTTTTAAATACAAAACTATTTATTAAGGCAATTAAATCAATCTTTTATTAGAAGAGAATAATATCTAACGGCACTCTTTAGTAATTTTCCGCATCACTAATGAAACATGACCAATAATTAGCTAAATAAAGCAATTTGACCATTCATATACAGTATCAAACTATAGGATATTGAAACAGCTTACGTTATTTGCTAGTTATAATGGTAAATATTATAATATATACGTTTATTCTTCCATATTTTATCGAAGAAAAAAACTAAGTCATAAATATTTAAATAAGTCAGATACTACGCTTTATGTATAGACCGCTGTATATATATTAATAAAAAATAAATAAATAATTCAGATAGTTCCTTATGTAAAAGTGAATATAAATATTTTGTACACGTGTTTTTTATATGAGAAAAAATATATATACACTATGTAAACAGTCAAACCTTCAATAACGGACACCTCTAAATGGCGGCCATCTTTCCGTCGGTGGCCGTTGTTTGGAGGTTTAACTATATACACAGTGTATATATTATTTTTAAAATAATTTAATGTATAAAAGAAGTTTTAAAATTATTAATTTTTTTTAATATTTTTAAATAATTTTCTATAATTATTATTTTGCATTAAATGAGTTTTTAAAGTATTATGAACTACTCTTATACANGTACTGTACCTAAAACATTTTAACTTAAAACTTCATAAAAGTTATTAAAATCTTCAAAGGTGTAAGCGAGCGAAGAATTGATTGATGATGTAATCAGTAATTTTTAAATTATATCTAATTTGATATTGTAAAGTTTTACCTTACATATAGTTGGAATCGATTGATATTACCTCCGAGATTACTCAGCGATGGTCAATGTCAGGGGGAAGATCAATTTACCTTTCTCTTCCTCCTTCCTGTTAGATTTACGGATCAATGTATCAAATAAGAGAGAAATTAGCTATAAATTGAAATAAACTTAATTAAAATTATATTTTGAAATTAGATAAATTTGATATACGAAATTTGAATACACAATGTATTCATTTCATATGTTTTTAATAAGACATTATTTTTAATAATTAAGCAAAGAATATTAAAAAATGTAAGAGAATTTTTCATATTAAAGAAGAGGACTGTAATATATGAGGCTAGCATAAATAATTAGAAGTGAGTAATAGAAGGTCAGAAATTTGATGAAGGAAAGGAAAAAAAAAATGAAGAGAGTTTTAAAGAAAGGAAAATAAGTTACTAAATTTATTTTTATACTCAAAGAATATTCAAGTGTTAAGACAGATGTTGTATTTAACAGAAAAGAAAACTTAAAGAAGCATTGTGAATTATAATACAATTAAAGAGTAAGGTAAATTAAGTCAAGATAGATACAGAAGACTTAAAGATGATGAAAAATTGTTAGAAAAGAAGCTTAGAAAATAATAAAAAAAAAAGATTATTAAAGTTTCATTAAATGAGAAATGAATAAAGGTACGAAGCGATAACTTTTCAAAGCAATACAACAATATCTTAGCCTGTGTAGAAGTGGGAAATGGCTTAAATTGTTTATAAAATTAATTTAAATATTACCACAATAAAACGAGAAATTTCATAAAAATAAATTTTAAAATAAAATATCTTTCTATTCTTCCATATAGAGTATCACTTCTATCAGAATTTATGGTTAAAGAAGAACATATTTAAAATCCATCAACAATAATGATCCTTATCTGTATAAAAAATGGGGGAGAAGAAAAATGTTTGATCGATTGAAATATCANGTAGAAGTGGGAAATGGCTTAAATTGTTTATAAAATTAATTTAAATATTACCACAATAAAACGAGAAATTTCATAAAAATAAATTTTAAAATAAATTACCGAGAATGGAGCAATTAAAAAATTCTATGAATTGTTTAGAAAATTAATTTAAATATTGCTAGATAAATTTAACAATAGTACTGTTTGGATTATACTTTATAAATATTCCTAGAGTAAATTTAAAACTCTCCCAAAATATATAAAAAAGCAGGAAATTTTATTTAAAAAAAATCACATTCTCGACACGGAATTAAAGTAATAAAAAATGACAACATTCAATAAAAACCCAGAAAAAAATCAGATAAAAAAATAGAAATAAAGATAAAAACAACATCAGGAAATTAACTTACATAACATAAAACACGAAAATTCCATTTATATGAATAATAATCTTTGGAATTTTAAAGTAAGATTATGAATGACTTTTCGGAGATTCGCATATAAAAGAAACGAAGTAATAAATAAGAGAAGAGAGAGAGGATATATCTATTAGAATATATCATCTTATTTAGAAACATATCCAGATTGGTAGTGAGAAAAGAAAGGACTTATCAATAGCTTCTTTCTAAAGTGGTTGGTAGGTAAAAGGTATTTTTTTACTCTTTTAAAATATAAGGAAAGTAATAGTGAAAGCTGTCGTTGAAGTTTAGGAATGATAGATCTCTGGATACGATATTTCAGAAGGTGATATCTTTTTCTGCTTTTACTCTTTTCTTCTTCTTGCGTAAGTTTAGCCATTTTTCACTTCTTTCTCTTGGGGATTGTCAAGATTTGTGTCGGTTCCCTAAGCTGGAAATAAAGGATTAATGCTGTTTTTTTTCTGGATTTTTATCGGTCTACAGCTCCGCCCAAAATCTATGGTGGATTTAGAACAACGTTTTATTGCTTTAAAGTTCGATTTAATAAAAACTTCTTATGGTTTTAATCTCTTAGGAACAAACAATATTGGCTCGAGAAATTTTTTCTTTTGTTATTTCTATATCTTCTCGAAATTATACCTTTTTTTTCTTATCACGAGATCTATTTGAGATTTCTTTATTATTTCTCTCAATAAAAACTTATTTTATTTGCACTTTTAATTATATTTCTCGTATCGAAAAAGTCGGCATTTTTCAATAAGTTAAAGTTCCTGCTTCAGAAAATATTTTCAACTTTAAGCTGGCCTAAAAGTCCGTTAACTGAGTTATATTTTAAAAGCTTAAAAAATCGATCTGAAAAAAACCGACAGAATCACATTTTAACCTTATATGAGAATATTTAGGTTAACCGACATTTGGGCTACACACTCTATAATAAAAGTAATGATAAATAATGACAATTTTATAGAAAATTAGCATTAATTAATGCAAAAACCATTAATGAAATTTAAAATATTTTGAAAGTTAAAAAGAAAGATGAATTGTTTTTACGCGGTTAAAATATTTAACTAAAAAATGACACGTGGTAGAAGAATAAAAATGATTATCATTATCTACGTCAATACGGTAATCTCTTTGTTATTGGCTCCATATTTCATATCTATTGTATTCGTGATGCTCACGCATCATTATTATCGTCACGATTTTATTTCGTGACAATTTTTCCCTTATTTGAATTCAATTCGAAACGAGTATCATTCTACTTAATGTTCCTTTATTTAAATCTTTGGATAATGAGGATGGCAATGTGCAGTTTTCTCTTCCCTCCCCCTTCGTTTCCTTCGATTGCTTTCGAGTTTTATGAAACTGAAATATTGCTTCATTTTCTTTCTCTCCACCGAAAAAAAAAATATATATATATATATATATATATATTAAGCTATTTCTTTTTTGTCTTTTTTTGCAACGAAATTAAAACAAAATACTTTGTTTTTTTATTGCAAAACAATTTTTATATGTTATTTTATTTAAATATTTTGTTTTCGTTGTAAAGCCATTTTATTTATACTTTGCATTTT